AAATTTTTTTCGCCCCCCCCCCCCCCCACCCTTTTCCCCCAATCAGTTTTTTCAAGCAGAAGATAACGTGAAAATCCCGATAAACTGTGCTAGATGGAATTCTTTGTAATAAACTATCGCAAGTGGCTAAGTCTTGTCTTTGGTTTTGCTACAATTGTCAAAGCGGGGGTGTCATTAAGTAGAATATCAATAGGTGTCCAGGGGCGTGGACAAATGTGCGGTGGTGAGCCTCGAAGAAGGAGGAGCACTAATTGATTGCTTATAAAATGCGTTGTTTGTATGCACGTTTTGTGTGCATTGTACCAAGCAAGATGGCGTGTTAGTTTGAGGTTTGGTGTAAAGGGTGTATGTTACCAAACAAGGTGACCTGTTTGTTTGATGTTTGGTGTAAAGGGTGTATGTTACCAAACAAGGTGACCTGTTTGTTTGATGTTTGGTGTAAAGGGTGTATGTTACCAAACAAGGTGACTTGTTTGTTTGATGTTTGGTGTAAAGGGTGTATGTTACCAAACAAGGTGACCTGTTTGTTTGATGTTTGGTGTAAAGGGTGTATGTTACCAAACAAGATTGACCTGTTTGATTGATGTTTGGTGTAAAGGGTGTATGTTACCAAACAAGGTGACCTGTTTGATTGATGTTTGGTGTAAAGGGTGTATGTTACCAAACAAGGTGACCTGTTTGATTGATGTTTGGTGTAAAGGGTGTATGTTACCAAACAAGATTGACCTGTTTGATGTTTGGTGTAAAGGGTGTATGTTACCAAACAAGGTGACCTGTTTGATGTTTGGTGTAAAGGGTGTATGTTACCAAACAAGATGACCTGTTTGATTGATGTTTGGTGTAAAGAGTGTATGTTACCAAACAAGATCACTTAACATACTGAGGTTTGTGAGGTCAACAAAACAGATTAACCTCAACAGTAATTTCATAGCACAAACATTCACAAAATGAACTCGAACACTTGACAAGATGTACTTTGACTCTATTTACATATTAGCTCCCCTGCAATAATGGCTACTGGCGCGCCATTCATGGGTGGAAATTTTGATCAAAATTTCTGTATTAAATGCTTCTTTGAGATTTTGAACAGGAAAACTATTAGCCTTAGTCGTATCCAAAATAACATTGAAATGTTCTATTCAATTGGCGAGATAATTTACAGCACAGTAGAGAGGAATAAGATTTGTGAGGGCCCAATGAGAAAAAGAGATCCTTACCTGAAGCTATAGCTTAGTCCTTAACTCTCATAATGTAACCATTATCTAACCATTAGCCATCACAATCTACCCATTAGCCTTCACAATGTAACCATTAGCCACCACAATCTACCCATTAGCCTTCACAATCTACCCATTAGCCACCACAATCTACCCATTAGCCATCACAATCTACCCATTAGCCACGACAATCCAACCATTAGCCATCACAATCTACCCATTAGCCATCACAATCTACCCATTAGCCTTCACAATGTAACCATTAGCCACGACAATCCAACCATTAGCCACCACAATCTACCCATTAGCCATCACAATCTACCCATTAGCCACGACAATCCAACCATTAGCCATCACAATCTACCCATTAGCCATCAAATCTAAAGGGGCCTAAACAGAATTATTTCAATAACATGAACAAAGTTTATCAACTGAACATTGGCCAAAAATAAACATTTCATTTTAATGTACATGTTGAAATAAGTTTCTATTTATAATCAGATCTTTTAACTTCTGTTACTTTCTAGCATTGGTCTATTAGTATTATGAATGCAACAGGCAGAAATTGGAGGGTATTAAATATCAAACACAGCAACCCCTACCCCTACCCCCCAATTCCCCCACAACACCCCCCCCCTGACCTAATAAATAATTAATACCTAATAAATATAAATAAAAATTCAATAACTGAATGTATTATTCATAAACCAAGGGACATAATACACCTGATATCTTATAGAATCCAAATCCTTTCAATTTCAAGTGAAATTTAAGTAGCTAAGATATTATTTTTACTGTGCCAGTTGTGACTCATGCATAGACTTGCACCGAAGGACACTCATTAAAAAGGCAATTTATTCCTTAAGTATATCAAGCCGTGACATGAAAATAAGCAAATTTATAACCATTAACCTGTGCAGTCCAGCTTATGAATAAGAAATAATGGCCAGAAGATTAAAAATAATTATATAGCTTTTCTCAAAATTAATTTCTTAAGGTTACCAAAAAAAAACTAGACGACTAAATAGCAATGGCTATATTTAACTATAGCTTTAAAATTATCAATATTCACTTTCTCATCATCAAAAAATATCACAGCTCTCTCGAGTTTCCTCAAAGTCACAGTCGCATTATCGGCATCATCACAGCAATCGGCTTCCTCTGTGGAGTCCTCCCCAGCCGAACAATCGCATTCAAAATGAAATACCTCATTCTTTCGTGATGTGACACATCTTGCTGCACTCAAATCAATGACAGCTGGCAACTCCTCAGTGATTGGAGTTGGGGAATAGAAGTTTTTAAGTCTTTTGTTGTCCTGCATGGTCAGCTCCAAAAACACTTCTGCTTTATCATAGCCACTGATCACAATATTCCCCCAACGGGCATATCTGTATTCACTGTTCACCAGCTGTGTGTCCAGTTTGTGGGAACATTCCCATGCGATGCACTTCTTCAGTTCACCCTGCTTTGACTCAGCGCAACAGCTGGGAGTTTTGTTTCTCAACAGCACAGAACTTTTTCCCCCGTTTATCATAAATTCTGTCGATGAGATTTGAAACGATTCATCATGAACAGCAGGGCAGCTGGAACAGGTTTGGTTTTCGCAGTTGTTGAGTTCATTCTGGCAATGTGAACAAAAATATTTGCGAAGACCTAGTTTATCAACTTCAAACAAAATAGTCGACATGTTTATTCTGAAATAAACATTCAAAAGAGTTGACATTTTCAATGTGAAATACACAGACACAAAAAAAATATTACACTGACTAAAAAAATTTTATTCAAATTTGATTTCTTGATTATTTCTGTTCTGTTTTTTTTTTACTTTCTCTGGAAAATTTATGATAGGTTCCCAGTTTTAATGTAAACAAATTTTAAATTACGATATACAAAGAGTTAATCTGGCAGAAGGCCAAGTTTTGTTACATATAGTTATCGGTATATTTCTTTACAATAAAGACCAACTATGAATTCAAATATATTTGCTAGACACCTCAAGTGGTTTAATAAAGAATTAAGTGAATGGCTGTAAGAACATATTTTTCTATGAAACCTATCTTTTATGTCTTTGTTTCAAGATAACATAGCCAGCCGATTTTGAAATAGAACTATTTACATACAGGTTACGTGATCCCCAGGAATGGCTGTTATCATAAGTGTTAGAGAAGTCTGTCTTTTCACTATAAAGTACCCAAGTTTGGCATTTTTTGAAGGTATATCAAATTTATAAAAATGCATTATTGATATTTAACATAACTTTAAAAATACAACATCCATTTCCTTGAAATCATTAAAAAATATATACATCTTAATATTTGAATTTAAAAAAACAATGAAAACACATTGTTTTTTTTTTTTAAATATGAGCAAACCTTGAAGGCTGTATTGCACTTATGATGTACAGTGTGCAGTGCTTGTCTCTCACCAACTGTTCAAGGAATTCTACTTTAACTCTGCTTTCAATACATCTCTTTTTAACATTGATTACCTGACAGAAAGAATAGATCATTTGAAAATAAATATCTAATGTTGTTTTATAGACTATCTTTCAATTTTTAAAATTCTTTTTGCTTAGAAAATGGATTAAATGAAAAGAACTATTTTTGTGAGAATCATCCAATTTTTCATAAATCAAATGCATGACATTTTAACAACAATGGTAACACTTGGGTTGGTGTCACCCAATGGGGTGCTCATGGTCCCTCCCCATCCCTCCAGACTTCCCATGGCCCTACTCCCAGTCTGCTGCAACATGCTCTGTGTTCTACTTGTTGCACATCATACCCCCTAGTTATGCAACTGATGTGAGATTTATTACAAAGATGTGACATATATTACATAGATATGATAGACTAGATGTTACGTAGATGTTAGCAGACACAAAATGTTTACCAATTTGTTCAGTAAAGTGCTTAAAACCCATGACTGCTTACCCTTTTAAAATCACATTTAGGTCAGGTTATAAGAAAAAGCCATATCCCAATTTGTAAAATCTACTGCTGCTATTTTAGGACCTACTTACTTTTAATGTATTGTCCCAATCAAAGATTACTGTTGCTCTGTCTGGAATGTAGCATTGCTCAATGGGATTAAAGTTAGGTTCGTTCAAATGAATCGCCATTGAAATCTAATGAGGAAAAAAGGTTTACAAACCATTAATAATTGTTGTGCCGAAAGTAAGCTAACAAAAATTTCAGATAAAAAGGTTGACATAAAGTAGAATAGCCATACTGACCCACCATACTCTCATGACAGATTACTCTTATTAGTAGTACTAAACTAATTAAAATAATAAAATTAGGCCCTATCATGGTTATTTATTAGCAATTAAATAAGTTTAATTATAATATTTGGTAAAGTTTTATATAGGCAAAAGATTAGGCCTGCAATACAAGAATCTGGATGTAAAATTACTTTAACTACTTAGGAAGACTTAGGTTACGTATTTTATTCATATTTATTTAATTTAGTTTTAAAGTTAAAGGATAATAATTAATTTTAGTACATTGTGATCGTGAAGGACGGTTTTCAGTCAAATTGTACATTTTATTGTATTGTTTATTCAGGCTACAACTTGCTTGGCCTATCTGCCTATCTATCTCGTCTTGAATATTTGTTTCATTACCACAAGTGAAATCTGCGCCTCTGACAAAATTATACATACTTATACTATACTGAAAAGAACTGAAAGACTTAAGATCAAGAATTTCAAACTCAAAGAAAAAGTGGTGATAGATTTTAAGCACAATGATCACAATGTAGTAATTAACTTAATATGATTAATATGATTTATTAATTAATATAATAGTCGTCATAGTTAAAATAGGTACACTTACAATAGTAATACTAGTAATAGTAACTAGTTACACTCACTTCTCAGTGACTAATACTAATAATACTAATGCTATACTAGATTTTATAAATTATGGTCATGGATTTCATGGATAATGGCACATTTGAGCAGGCAACCTAATCATTCATTGGCATTATTATATAAATTAATATTATAATATAATATTATTATAATAATTAATATATATAGATTATAGATTTACTAATTACTAAGACTCAAGACTAATTACTAATACTGACTAACGCAGTAATCAGTACTAACTGTTACTACTAATTAATACTTAATACTAATACTACTACTACTACTAAGACTACTACTAACGCCAACGCTTTTCTGTCGAACTATAGGCCAATGTGAAAATACTCAATATAACATTTAAACATTATAAAAACAGACCGTAAACTTAAAGATTAATTATTATAAAATTAAGGGTAATCAGGGATTACCAAATTAAGTTTATATATTATCACGATCTTTGACTTAAAAAAAGAACAAGTAAGTAATGTTATTTTATGTGTGGGCGACTGTTATGTATGTTGCCAGTCAGTTACTTCCCCATGACTAATTTTATCAGCCGAAAGGAGCCAATCACTTTACAGTTAATAAACAAACTCATATTTATAGAAGTCGGAAAATCCCGCAATAAGTTGTTTTTTTTTTTTTAAATAGTAAGTTAAGCAAGAGGGATGTCACAACATGCCATTGAAATTTTTAATATTTTTATTACCTTTGCTATCTACATATTATTTAAAAGGATACATTTTGTAAAACAGTAGCTAGCTGAGCGTCGATTGTCCAAAAGATTATTAAAGGGGGGCAGTACTAGTACGCTACTATTATTTATTATTTACTATGACTATTTATACTATAATTGCGTTGCACAAATTATATCTCAGATCTGCACAAAAATTTCCACCAAACCCCATACCGTACCCCTTAATACCCGTACCGTATAAAAGTCATATAACGTTTCCATTGACCACGGCACCACCGACCACCCTAAGCCTAAAATGCCCTAATTATATAACATTTCAACCACCCCTACTGCCCCCACCCCGATAAAACATTTTTTTACATTGGTAGGGCCTACTAAAAAAAATTGTTTTGAATATTTTTTACACCCAGTGCCGGTACGGGTATTTCGAGATAATATACGGCGGGTCCTAATAATACGGTTCCGGGTTTACAAAGAAAAAAAGAGTTATCTTCTTATTTTATTTAAAGTGGTTATACTGTTAGACTGTCAGATGCGTATAACGCACAGCATTATTTATGGTCACGTGACCGTCAATACTCGGTTGGTCAAACTCGGTCAAACCGTTGGTCACGGCGGTCACGATACCGGTAGCCATTACTATCATTCAACAATGTCGGTCGAGGAAGGTGCCATGACTATTATGTAGTGTTAAAGAAACATGAAGACGAAGAAGAAAGTGGCTTGCTCTATCATCTATGTTATATGCTGCTCAAAGAAAGTAAGAATAAGTTAAAGTTTAGGCTACTCATTTAGTCAAAGTTGCTTTTTTTTTTTTTTTTTTTTTTGGCGTTAAGATAGGCTACTGACTGGTCTCAGGTATACAGTCGTCGAATAATCATCTATGTTATATGCTGCTCAAAGAAAGTAAGAATAAGTTAAAGTTTAGGCTACTCATTTAGTCAAAGTTGCTTTTTTTTTTTTTTTTTTTTTGGCGTTAAGATAGGCTACTGACTGGTCTCAGGTATACAGTCGTCGAATGAGTCTAATTCTTATAGTCTTAAGTCTAATTGAATGGAGGGGAGTTTCTAACAAAACATACTCTTCCATTAATTAAATATGTGGTAAATGCAGACAATCTGTGTCATGGCCATGGGTTTCCCTTGGCCGCCATATTGTTAGCCACAACCCTCGAAAGGTCATGGGTCATTGTGGGTGTGTACAAAAATAAAAAAACATGTCTGCTAAAATAAAATTACGAATAAAATGTTAAAAATTAAATTTAATGCAAAAATGTCCGCAGGTAAATAATTTTTTTTAGTGGTGAACGTAGCTACTTTTATTGTATCTGTATAGTACATAGATACGCAGCAAGAAGTGTCAAAAGACATGCTGTCGCTCACTTGCCTCGCGTAATTTCGGCCGGTACATAAATTTCGTGGTGAACATAGCTATTTTATTGTATCCATCTAGATAAGTGTCAACAACCTGCAGTCGCACCCTGTCACCCATAATTTTAGCGGATAAATGCTCCATTCCCTCAACTAAAACACGTGTGTAGCTAGAGTTTATAACTCACACTGTGGTACTTGTAAGAAAACTGTAAATTGAAGAAAAACAACAAAATAATTTTAAATTAACGAAAACCCAATTTACTTACAACAACTTACAGAATACTCTTTTACACAATTCATTTCACGTTCCACCTAAAAGAAAATCCAAAGTTCTTAAAAAAAGCAATACATAAACATGTTCCAATATGCCAGAAAGTTTAAATATGACTACGGCTATCCGGACCCGGGATTCAGACCAGGAAAAGAGAGAGGTTTGGTTTATTAAACAATTTTAAAAATATTATTGTTGTGTTTGTAAGCCAAATTTTATATCCAATGATAGATAATTAAATGGACTACATGTTTGTAAACTTACGATAACCGAATAGCCGATATTGTGTCTGTGTTTTATACTCAGTGAGCATCTCATCCTCTATTTCTGAATACCAGTTACTTGTCCCCCATGTCCATGTCACATTAATACAGAATGGAGACACGCACTCTCCAAAACCTAGCTAGATAACCTGTTAAACATGGTGCCATAAATGTTTCACACTGGCCACTGTACCTTAGTCATTTTATAGTCCCGTTGTAGGGGGCATGGATATTTCTACAACGACCAAATAGCTACACAACAAGCTACTTTTGCTTTCCCTAAAGGTTGCTCTGTTGATGTGCTTAACACAAATTACTGCTTCTTTTCAAGCCATCAAAAAATTTTGCTCCTTGACCTTGGCGTTCTCAAGAAAATAAAAATCGACAAAATGTCTTGCTTTCAAGTGCTCATAACATCATTAATTTTTATAGATACACTTAAAACAAAAATCTAAATGTTGTAGCCAATTCATTTATCTATCAAAAAATGTTTAGTTTGCTAAGGTTTTGATTGCAATTACACATCTGTAAGCAATTTTAGTAATTTTAGGTCATTTATATAAGAAACTGGGACCACTGCTAAAATCAAGTACAATATACAAAATCTCAGGCAAAAATACACATGCTAAATTAATTAAGCATTCAGTCTATTTGAGGTGTAATCATTCTTCAACAGGTTTGAAATAATCAAATGATGAATGGTCAAGAGAAATCACACCCCAACAGAACAAGTTCCACCAATGATCTTCCATCTCATGATCTTCCATCTCATAGAAGTCAGTTCATTAAATGGCAACTTTGGACAAGATAAGGTATGTGAACTTTTACTATGAAATGAATCAGTGTGATTTGTTAGGCCATTTGGGTATAACATTGTTCTCAAAGTATAGAAAATGCTAACATTTAGACAGCAAAAAAAATTTTGAACCCTCGAACTGTGGCATGTATCATTCTGTGGTTGGGAGCTTTTCAGAGACTTTTTAGTGCCTTTTGAAATTGCATTAAATGACATAGAAATATTGATACAAGACCCCTATAAGTATATATTTTTAGAAAGGTAAATGGATGGGGATAAAGTTGGCCATATTGCCCACCCCGTAAAAAAAATTTTGCTCCTTGACCTTGGCGTTCTCAAGAAAATAAAAATCGACAAAATGTCTTGCTTTCAAGTGCTCATAACATCATTAATTTTTATAGATACACTTAAAACAAAAATCTAAATGTTGTAGCCAATTCATTTATCTATCAAAAAATGTTTAGTTTGCTAAGGTTTTGATTGCAATTACACATCTGTAAGCAATTTTAGTAATTTTAGGTCATTTATATAAGAAACTGGGACCACTGCTAAAGACAAGTACAATATACAAAATCTCAGGCAAAATAGTTATTATTGACTAATAACCATTTAAAAAGGAAATGTGGAACTGATTTGGGTTAAACTATAAAATTTATTAGTTCTGATCTATAATCTGTAGCTTCTGTGACTAAAATTCAGGTAGTCCTTGCCCAGTGTTTCAGTATCACTTAGACTAGTATCAGATTCACGAAAAGAAGAATCTGAAGTGAGATATCATGGGGAATGTTAAAATTATCATCAGTATCACTTAAAATCCTTCAAAAATATTTATATTAGTTCTTGCACTGAAGGCCCGGCCAAAGCTTCTGACATTTTTGCTTTAAAAAAAAACGCGATAGAAAATTCCGATTAAAAAGTACTTACTGTTAAGTTATCAAGACTCAGAAGTTGATTTAGTTATGAATAAAAGGAAATGGCTACGATTTTGGTTAAATATTGGATTGGAAGTTGCTATCAGACCATGTTTTTTCCTCAGCCGACCACAGTTCGAGGGTTAAAGTACTTTTAGCAAAACCCATTATTGCCTAAACCACTATTTCTATACTACTGACTACTGCTTTTAAATTTTTTTCATTAACAAAGGGACATTTAAAATGTATAGACTCTATGTTATTTTTAACAAAAGAAATTAAAAGTTAAAACAAGCAATAGTTATTTGAAATATTATTAAATACAAAAATTAATTTGATGTCATTGTCATGATAAAAAAAAAATATTTAGAGGAAAACCCTTTTAATTTTAATATCTGAAGTGGACTTTCTCTGCATTTTCAAAAATTCACCGACTTTCACAGTGATAACTGTAGCCTGCTAGTATCATTATCTAACGATGTAACAGTCTTGATTTCTATGGTCTTGTCCCATCTATCATACATTTGGCTGTCCTTCCACTCAGAACTCATGATTTTATTTTTCCATGCCTTTATTCCTAATCGCTATAGATCTGTTTCCACATGGTCTACCCATCTAAGCCTAGGTCTGCCTTTGAGCCGTTTTCCATCCAATGTAACCTTTCCTGTCCCTTGTTGGCCCATATAAACTTTCTGGATAATTTTTCTTGACAAGTTTTCTGCAGGTTTTGTTTTGGTCAAATTTTCACCAGCCTATATTACTTCTGGTGTTATTACAGTTGTATGTATAGTTTTCTTTGTACTTCTTGTAATGTTTTTACTGTTTAGTATATTTTAACCACTGAAGTAAGCCCTGGTTTTGGAGAATATTCTTTCATTTCTCTTATTACTTACTACAAGGCAGTAGATTCTGATTTAGGTCTTCCCTATGTATGTTATTTACCATATCTGCCATCTGTGGAGGCACCAAAGGGCAGATGAGTAACTCGTATAGGGTAAAAAATTCTACTTAAAAATAGGTCTTTACATTAAATGGGCATGCAAGTACATTTTAATTAAAGGATATTTAGCGTGCTAATTCCTATGCATCAAAATATATATAACATAAGAACATATAACATATAAGAAAAAATTGTTGGACTAAGTCTCAGTATTAAAACTATACCCAATTCTCAACACATACAAGAGGAATGCATATGTTTTTATATTCTGTCGTTGGTTATTTTACG